TCATGTAGAAAACTTTATGTTAAATAATATTATAAAGAAACGCGAAATTTTATTCAAATTTTCTGTATTCACAAATATTCGTAATTCAATTCAGACGACTTCACGAATGCGCTTAACCTTAACCATGGAATGTATAATATTTTTACATAAATGAGTAACCTTTCCTCAACTTTGACTTCATTGTCGTAAAACAGAGTTTTACGACCAGTTTCCTTGACCTTGTTGATGAAGGGTGAAAACAAACAAGAAACAAAAGTACTATTACGTCAGATAAGTATTCGTCACATAATTTTCGTTTATTCTATACTATCTATTGGCCCCGACTTCGTATGCATTGAACAAAACATTCAGAATTTATTTCCTACGTAGATTAGTAAGTAGACAAACAAAAACAATTATGTACATTAGCACCGTAATTACTCTGATAAAAGTTATTTTAGAAAAACCTACTGGAAAAAGGCGAAATACATAATACTTCATTTTTATTTTTTCCTCTTAATTAATAAAAAAATATTGTCGACCGCAAAGCTGAAGTGCGCCTGATTCAGCGTTAATGAATTTCACCCTTTCGCTCTTCACTCTCATATCGACAGCTTGTTGAAATGCACTTCAGTTTCTAAATTGATATTGAAGTATCATATTTCAACGCAATTAATATTAAATGGAAAATGCTACCATCTCTCTCATTCACCCTAAGTAAACTGAGATAACAATACGTTTTCCTACATGTATATTCGCAGTGGAAACTCATGTTTATGTAGATTTAATGACATAGAGCTAGGGGCAATGTAGTTAGCACGAGCTCACTTCTCATTAAAGGCTATTTGGATACGTTGCGAAGTAATATTATGTCGTAACCTTATTGTAATAATAAGGTTCCGGTTTATCATATGTAAATTCTATCTCTGTTAGTTTTTACATTATAAAGTTTTAGAAGCGAAGAAAAATTAAATTTCTTATGTTTCGATGTATTTTTATATTCATGTAAATAATTGGACTCTCGAGATCTAACTACATTTTAAATCTCTTAAAATACAACTTAAAAATCGATGTTCAATTTGTAGTAATCTATCTAGTTCGGTGCTGCCTAAATTGAGAGCTTAAAAAAATACCAGCCAATGCGTTACGTTGCATGTAGGTCAGTCGGGTCGCAATTTCAAGCGCCACAAAGGACTATCCTATCAACTGAAAACACAATTTGAAATTTCGACAGATTGTGTGTCTCGTAACATTCATAGCACCGGACACTATGACATACCAACAATAACGATCAGACCACATAACTATCGGTTTTTTTTTTTAATAAACACATATTTGTTACAGATGGGAAAAATATCAGCAAGCTTTTCTCACAACAAAGTTAAGGTCGACGTATATAAGAATAATTTATTATTTTTTTTAATTAAAAAGCTCAGTTATAAATTACTTCATTTAAAAATTCAACGTATTTAATGGAGTTCGGATTCCCTTGGGTAAACAAACGTATTACGGATAATAACCCAAACTTTTGTTATCTGTGAAACGGGACCACATACGTGATTTTTCCCGCAATAAAACCTTTTTGCAGGACCAAGAGCAAAAAATATTTAATGATGACAAATATAAAAAATGTTGTGTACATTTTTGTCAATAAATATAACATATAATATTGTTACGAAAGTGATGTTCGTGTTCAAGATATAATGAGATTGTATTCCTCTGAGCTTCGATAGTCTTAGTCCGCATAAATATTATGACGTGATTCATTTACATACTAGAAATTTCCTAGACCCGAGCTTCTACAGCATCATTACAAAAACTGTCCGTGTTTATAAGAAAAATATCTTTATTAAAAAAACAACTTAGAGTTCTTATAGGATAAAAAATATCGATATTAGAACGTTGCTTCACAGTTTTTAAATGGATTCTGCGGCTTTACACTTTTATAGTCCACAATAAAACCTCAAATCCACGTTTAAATACCAGTAGAAGAATAATCTTTTCCACCCTTCTTTATTCTCAAAGCATTGTAGTTATTATCTGTATGCTGTTGTAATCTCATCAGACAAACTTTAAAGTAAATATAAAAAAAATTATGTTATAGTCACTATTATATTGTTATTGTTATAAATTTAAAGGATAAAATCTTCTATGAAATGATCAAACGCCTTCTGAACGCAATCATCAAATACCTTAAAACTATGGATTTTACTAGAATTTAATCTATATTTGAAATTTTGCACCACATTTTCGTCAATAAATCGATATTTGTGATAAAGAAGTAAGAATTTCTCTTAAAACCTCTAATTTTCGAGAGGGACATTAGCCGGAGCGTTGGATTGATGACGTGATTACGCGCGCACTAAACCAAATGATTACGGCTGCAATCCACTTTGTCTCAAATGACCTTAAGTGGTTATTTATTTCAATCGATGCCATTATGTATATGTCAAAAAAAATGTGGTAGTCCAATGCTAAGCTATACTAAAATTATAATTAGAAAAAATGTACTTTTATATATTTGACCGACTTCCCAAAAAAAGAAAGTAATCAATTCGTCTGTATGTTTTTTTTAATGTGTGTTACGCGATATCTCCGGCACTGGTGGACCAATTTTGAAAATCCTTTTTTATCCGAAAGGCATTGTTTTTTTTTTTCTTTTAAATTCAGTATAAGATAGTAATAACTAATGATATTGTAATAACATTTACTTGTAAAAACATTGCTTGGTAAAACGATAGTTTAAATTTATTTTATTTTCACTACAACGTTTTATTTCTAATACATTATTACAGAGGATTTCTTTGGCTTTCCGCCAACCTTTAATAGAATCAATTTTCCTTCTTATCGATAGAAATGGTCTTGTTATGTGATAAACGCATCAAAGGTAAATTTAAAATAGGAAACCAAAAATCTAAATTGTGTGATTTAAAATGTGCCAGTTTTCATTCTACAAAAGTAATAGCCATAAAAATAGATGTAGTAATAAATTTGTTTAGACTTCCCCATGATAAAGTTTTAATTATAATTTAAGCCGGCTAAATACAGTAAGCTCTTTTGATGTACGCATAGACGTATTAACACATTCATAATCCAACAAATAGTCTTAGACTAAACATAGAGAGTACAGAATTAATTTGTTTGAACAAACTTCAATTGTAATTTGCATATAAATAGAAAAATAGTCAAAAGCATAAATAAAAGAATAAAATAGCCTTTATTGTTTTCCAGATTACAAATTATAATAAATGCCTAAATGTTAGCATCTAGGCATTTATAACTGAATTTTCTAATTAATTTCTATTACAATTTTCGTTTTAATTATCGGCAACTAGTTGTTTGTGCGGTAAAGGGCTCCTCTAAAGATAGTTAAAAGCTTTGAACTGTTTAAATAAAAACAAATATAAACGCAACCAAAACGATTTATTGATAAACAAAAACTACCAGTAGAAATACATCTATAAGCAAATCAGATTTATTGCAGAGAAATACGTGACGAAATCGATATCAGCCATAAACGATCTAATAAATTCAATGTATTCAATCTCGTTGTGTCGAATTTGTCAAGAAGGATAACGTAATAAAAAATTATAGTACGGCCGTAAAACTGTCGGGGATACTGTTTCGGAGACGTATTTAGTGCCTTTGAATAAATATTACACATTTATCACATTACTTTGGAGAAGTTCAAACGCCAACTGTTAGTTTAATTATATTAACAAAATTATTCTAGTATCAACGATATATAGATTAGTCCCTGAAACTGGAGACTCTTGTCTACTGACGTAACTTTATGACAACGTAATAATCATCGTATATGTTCAACAAGCTTTAGTGAAAAGTGAAAAACAAAAGCAGTACATGGTTTAAAAAAACAAAAGCAGTAACTACTATTGCAGAGGACTTACTTAAAGGACGATTTACCTAATACAAATAAAACGGCATAGACAGAATTACACATTTACTATCAATAATTACGAAATTGGTAATATATTACGAAGAATACAATTTTATTTGTTTGAGTAAAACATACAACAGAACCCATGAACCCGCTTACGTATTTTTATTAAATTATGTACCCGAATTTGTGAGGATCTATGGAGCTATTTATCAACAACAGAGCTTTATACAACGGGATTTTCCGTAGAACAAAGTTTTGGCAGCGCTTAAGCACGGATTAAAATACAGTCTCTAGTTAAAAACTTTTTAAATATGCTCATTATAGTTTGAGATAAAATATGAACTGGCATTTTCAGTAGAAAGTTTAACCTTAATTTTTCATGAGCAAATTATTTAATGTTATGATTTCAGTTCCTTAAATGTGCTTTCTTCGCACGAACTTAATGTGGGAGATCATCATCCACTTGCCCTTATCCCTTATGGAGGGTCGGCACAGTATGTGCTGCTCTTCCATACATCTCTATCAGCCGTCATATCTGAATCCACTCCTTTCTTAAGCATATCTTCCTTCACACAATCCATCCATACTTTCTTCGGTCTTCCTCTTCCTTTGTAGCCATCCACATTCAATCTCAACACTTTCTGGTTTATGTCCCCATCATTTCGTCGCATAATATGTCCATACCACGCTAACCTTTTGCTTCTCAATTTCTCCACCACTGGCGCTACTTTCAAACTTCCTCTAATATGAATATAATTTCTGCAAAATTAAATGGTATTATTAAAAAGTATTTTTGTTCATAAAGATCGGTAACACATTAATGATTGTCCATACCAAATTGTAACACTTTGACTTTAATTATTATCAAAGAATTACCAAATTATAGCCTGACAAACATACTTCTTTATATAGAAATCAAATAGAGCTTTTTTAAACACGAAATTATGCGAAAGAGTAAAGCGTGCACCGGCATAAAAAGAATAAAGGGGTTAAAGCATGAAAATATCTCCACAAATCTAGCAGGCGTAGGGCTGGGGAATAGAGGGCGCGGTGGGCGCGGTGGGCGCACCCCGGGTGAGGTGACGAGCGTTCAGTGCTCGCCCGGACATAGTCCCGGCTGGACGACTATTTGCTCTTTGTTACCAACTCGTTCCGCACCAACTTCTCCGGAACAAACGGACAGTAAGAATGAACCGAATCGTTGCGTTCAATGCCTCTTAATCGAAAATGTGAAGTGTCTATTGTGCTTAAAAGCGATACTTTCAGTAAGTGTTTTTCGCCGAGAAATAGGAAAATTACTTTTTGACTGAAATGTTTGGGATTTAACGTACAGGTATATTATTTTATATTAATTTAAACGTTTTTAATGCATTTTCTATATAATATGAAATTTTACATTTAAATTATTCAGCGAAGAGCTTGTATGAAGAAAGCTCTACCATACTAAAAGAAGATTTTCCAGCAAACAAAATATTTACCTTGTCATTTTTTCATCGGTGTATGTCTGTGGAGGTCTTCAGTATATTCATATGTAAACTCCCTTTTGCCACTATCTTCTATTCTGGGCTAAACCCGAGGCTGCAACTAGTAGTTAACAAAAATCTTGGACAATATTCAGATTTTCATATATATGGTACTGTTACTACTAAAGGTAAAAAACATTTTATCAATTACAAAAAGTACATAAGTATGATTAAATAACCGTCTAAACTGAAGTTTATTATCTAATTTTGTTTTTATCGATGTACCTACTTACGGATGTCCGTCTGAAAGTATAAAATGTAGGAGAAAATTTTTCGACCCTCTCGTTCATCACTGTCTTTGCGTTTATAAGTTAAAAAATAGCTTGAGAAATACAAACTAAAGGACAGCGAAGTCGAAGTTATTTGAAATATGGCGTTGGAAAAAGATCTATTGCCTAAGTAGAAATTGCACGCGGGGAACTTTTGATTAGGGTGTAGGTAAGATGGATTTTGTTAGATTTGTTACAAAAGAAATATGGCCGGTCGGCTTATGAGACGTGACAGGCTTAGAAAATATCGCGACGACCGGAATTGAATGTACGAAAATCGTTTAAAATTTTAATTGAATATCGAAGTGTTTTCTTAAAATTGAGGTTTAAAATTATTAAAAAAAATTGTTCTATCTAAACGTTTAATTAATGAAAGTGCTACTAGGTGCTGAGAACCTCAGAATTAATTAATGTTTATTACATTTATCTTTTGCCCTCATTCCGACGTGCGACTCGCCATCTTTTTATTGCTATTCAAGTTTTGCTCGTGGAATATTTTATTTGATGTTTTAATTAGTCTTCAAAGCAAAGGTAAAATACTGTCTCTAATTTATAAACTAAGAAGATAAATCCAAGCCTTTGTACCATGTTTAGAAAACACTAACAGCATAGCTAGCAGGCTTTCATACACGTAACATGCGTGATTTTGACTAGCAAGGCAACACAAACCATCTTTAGGTCGACTTAAATCATCATCATCAACTTGCCCTCGTCCCTACGGAGCATAAACACAGTATGTGCTGCTCCATACATTTCTATCAGCCGTCATATCTGACTTCACTCCCTTCTTAAGCGTATCCTCTTTTACACAATCCATCCGTACTTTCTTATGACTTCTTAAAACGACTTAAATAATAGATATAATTTTTTAGCAAAAATTATTGTACTACAAGTTATTTGCATGACAGGGGAAGTATTTTCTAGCGAGATATTAAAGACCTGTACGTAACGTAAACATAGTTCATTTTTACATTGTTTAGATTTTCTCTACTCCGTTAGAATTCCAATTACCTGAAGAACTTACATATGAAAAATGCAACATGTTTTATGCATAGTTTCATATCTGCTAACTTCATTCGTACCTCTACAATGTGTATACTAACATTGCACTGTTTCGATGTTCTCCACACATCTGGCAGAATAGCTGATTGTACAAAGTCTGAGATGCCAAGTACCACCATTAATAGCATTGAATGCAATGTAAATTGTTTTTCAAATCGTTGCAACTGCTAAATATAATGACATTTTCGTAGTTTTTATTTGATATTATCATAATAATGTAAATAGAAATTTGTCAATAAATATTTCAAGACAAATACAGGCTATGGTTTAAGCTTTGAAGTCAATTCATAATCCAGTCTAAAATATACTTTATGTACATTGCAAATTTCCTTATAAAATTATTGAACCTAACAGAAGAAATCGAAGAAAAATAGAAAAACATATTTTCTTTTACGTAGAGTTGTGTGTGAATTATAGTCTAACAAACGATAAGATCGGTCAGTGGCGAGGAAACAGCGGAAAGGTCAGAGGGTGGGAAGGAGATTAGGTATGCAGGACGCTACCGGAAAGATAAATCTCACAGTAAACTACACTGAATATAAGAAGACCGCGCTAAAGAAGTTAGATTATTTATCCAAACATCTTTGGAGGGTTCTCATGACTTGCGTAACTAGCTTTAGCCCGCAACTCCTTGCGCGTGGAACTAATAAAAGTAAATAACCCGTGTATGTTTTCCAGACTATTCCCTACATCTACGCCGAATTTTATCGAGATACGTTCAGCAGTTTAAGTTTTAAACTCTGACAAACATCCATCAATCCATCTATGTAAACTTTCGCATTTATAATATGACTAAGAAGTAAGATTAATAACTTAGTAATAATGATGGTTAAATTTATTGTGTGTTCATTGATGTTATGTTCAATTCTGAGTTTAAAATTTTTATAGCTAAATATCGTCTAGAATATATTCTTTGAAAATAGAATTATACTATTAACATCTCAAGTAGATGTTTAAATTATATAAATAAAAAGTAGTGAAAACTCCATAAAGGGTTAAAGGCTAGACTTGATAGGTATTCAATCTCAAGTCTCAAACTTGACTTGATATTTGAAATTCAAAATTCCGAGAAGCCTGCATTGTTTGTCGTTTCATTTGCCTACGATCAAGTCAACGACCCATACGTCTAGTCGATTCAATTTAAAAACTTTCATACTTATAGAAGCGTAGAATCCATATCGAATCGAGAGTCTGTTTGTCAAATGTTATTTTGTTTTGTCAATAACAACATTGAGGTAAATTATCCATACAAAAGGCTTCCGTAGACATTTTTGGTCTCTTCACTTTTGTGCTCTGAATGAGATATCTACCCACAAGGATGGATGGATGTTTGTTAGAGTTTGTAGCTTAAATTGGCTTGTGACTTAATGGCTCTTTAAGCTGTCTCCAATTTTGAATTCCACCTACAAAATATATTCTAAGAGGCTCCCTTAAATACCATTTAACAACACTGAGTGTGATATGCGATTGCAATCGAAATGTTACGTAAAATAACAAAACAAATTTAAATAACAAAGATATCAAAACGAAGTATAGGCTTATTGTAGGGCTTATTTTTTACTAACTAGAGGATAAAATTGATATTAGCTGCGTCAGATTACGGCCTCGCTAATTTTGCGCTACATTGGGTCCGCGAGTCGCACGAGGGTTTTAATAAATTTTGATGTCACAAAATTTTAAATGACAATTGAGTTTGATAAAATAAAGATATCTAAATTATTTTTCTCTCACCACTAAAGATAGTTAAAAAATTTTAAGACCCAATTATAACAAATGATCCCGCTTCTATGAATAGATTTTTGTATCAGTATTATTTACTAGCTGTTGCAACTTCTTCCCCGTGAAATTAAAAAATAATGAAATATATAGCCTATGTTACTCACAGATAAATTGTCTTCCTAATGGAAAAATAAATTTGAAATCGATCGTGTAGTTTCTGAGTTATTTCAATACATACAAAAATACACAACATCTACACTAATTCCTTCCTTACCTCTTTATAATATTAGTATAGAAGTAGATAGTACTAATACTATATTACGAGTATACTATATTACAACTACTCGTAATAACTAACTCGTCGCGAAACGGTTGCAGTATTACATAAAAAGTCAAGTCGTAAACAACATTTTATACGCTTAGTATTAAATGCACGTACACACGAATGTAATTTATCTTTTCACTAATTCCACAGAAAAGTAATTACTTTAATTTTTTTTATAATATAACATGGCAAACGAGCAAGCGACCACCTGAATCCACAGAAATGTAGAGCGACCGCTGCCCATAAACATCCGCAATTGCAGATGCGTTGCCTACCCTTAATAGACGGAGGAGGAGACACACATAAAAGGGGACATTTTCTCTTCCTACGCTTCTCATCCACCGTCAAATCCACTTTTGCTTCCCATCCTTTCCTCTTAAGAAAACGATGGAATGGGACTAAAATCAGAAACGCGGAATTGCTCCCTCTTCACGCCTGTTTTCTGTGTGGTCGTGGTATTACATCGGGCTAGCTGACCCATTCGTGCGAAGATGTTAAAGCAGCTCTACCACTGTAAAACTTATTAGTTATATTAAAAAACTGCTTAAAACGATTAGTTAAATTTTAAAGGTGCCGTGAAAAAATTAAAAGATTTTTTCTATTGAGTGAATTTGGGTTTGAATTGATTTTTATATCATGTGGTAATTTGGCATCTTCATTGTTCCTTTATTCGAATCGGAAATTCTGTTAGCGGGAATTGACTTTACGAATTGGTCATGTGTATAGAATATTAAACAAAAGAAATGTCGTTATTATACCAAAAGAATTTTGGAACATCTCCAATTGCTACATTTCATTAATCAAGGGACCTTTTGATTATTCTTCGAACTAATTATATATTCTTCTTGTTCCAGATTAATTCAGATTTCAGATGTAAATGAATTAAGCAGTATAAAGTAAAGCACAATATTTACATCGAACAAGATGGTAATAATCATCGGTAAGTAAAAGAGTTTACTAACTTCAGACACTTAAGATATTTCTTCAGTACATCGAGATGATAAAAATTCCGATTTCCATCTTGTTAATAACTTATATATGTTTTCTTATATTAAGCGACTATCAAAATGTGTTACCACCAATTGTGCATGAAAGAAAAGGATCCTTTGTAGCAAATGACAAAGGGAGATTTTTCTCAGTCAAGTTATGTGGTTTTGTCCAGGTCGAATATGTGTGAGCACGGGTGTGGCGGTGCTTGCGGTGGCAGGCGGCGCGTCGGCGCGGGTCGCTGGCAAAATGGGCGGCTATTCCAACAAGATGGGAGGTAAGCCATCAAACACCAAAATTATACGTCGCAAGAAACGAAAGATATTTGATGTTTTGTACCACACGTTACTTGTACGCTGCGTTGTTGCTCAAATACCTTCTAATCGAGCAGCTCGAGTACCCTAAATTAAGGCTATATGTAAATTTGGGCTGATTATCATTTACTCAATTGAGATAACACGTGAGTGAATGGTATACGCTAATTGCCCATTGAGTAACCATTTATAAGCAAATGTAGTCAAAGATAATATTCGCTTTAATATAATTCAGTGGTAATATCAAATTATTCACACTAAAATCACCTGCTCAAAGGGTGACTTTGTTGATATTGTTAGTTGCCCTTTAGAAGTTAAGATTCAAGATTCCAAGTAAATTACGTACATGTTTATTAAATGGCAAATGCGAATACTCAAGGATAAAGATATTTGATAAAGTCTAATTTTGTTAGACTTCCAACTTAACACTCCTAGCATATTGTTCTAGTCGATATAATCAATTTAATTGGTTTTAGGGAAATCGACGAGCGGCATCAACGAAGAAATAATCTGGATAAGCATAAGTATGGCAATAGCGATAGCTGTGCTGATAGCGATCGCGTTGTGCTACATCCTGAAGGAGAAGTGTACCAAGCGGCAGTCGTACCGGGAGCAATCATGACGATACAAGCAGGAGTTCGCGAAGCACGCCCTCGCGGACTCCCTCTCGGAATTCGAGTTCCCCTCCTACACTCTCTACCCGCAGTATTCCCCTGACGGCACCGAATATTTCTACAACTTCCATCGCTTTTCATACTTAAAAGACAGTTTTAAACTACCCCCAAAGGACTATCCGAAAGAATACCCTATAAATTCAATACAAATTAATGACGATATTTACATAAATGCGTGATTAAGACGTGTGTGTTGCGTGAGAGCGATGTTCATTATGACGAATTTACGCGACGCTGGTGTCGTACTGTACCAAAAACTAATGATAAATAACTATATGTTAGACATATAATCTAATTTATTATTATAGAATACGTCTGTAAAATGTATTATATTAATCGGAATTGAATATGTGGTGTTCGATGTATGAAAATCATTATTTTGATTTATTTAAGTACTTAGCTCTTATAATCTTTACTAATAATAATCTCAATGTATTAAAACTTCATTCTTTGTGTCTGTGATAGAAAAATTACGGTTAAAACTCCTTTCATACAATATAAATAGATGAAAACACACATTAAAATTGTCTAAAATTCCCTCTAATACGGTAGCGAAAGGGTAATATCCAATTTTATTTACACGCACGGTAATGTCTGTCAATAAAGTTGTTTGTCCAGTCTGGAATTACGACCCACGTGAGTCATTTCCAATTATTTATATAGAAAAACAAACTTATCAAAACATTATTTATGAATATAGGCAACTAACGCCATAAAACGTCCACGTTTTATGAATAACACACAAAAAAGGAGATTATTCTTACTTATCCTATACTTCTTTGCAGTCGAAGCGTACTTGAAACTTATAAAAATCGTAGTGTATATATGTCAGTCGTGGTCAATGGGTATATTATATTATTAATGTAAAATAAATTGTAAATAGCCATTCTGGTAATAAATGTTAGATACAATCTAATAATAATGTCTTTTACTTGTTACGCATTTTCCATATCCCGCTAATACTATATACCATTTAATAACTCTTTTAGTAGAAGAAAATAAATCTTAATCGACTATACATATAAAGGACTTGAGTACTTTTAATAAAAAAGCATTTTGTACCACTCCACTTCAATACAACGTAAGGATTTCTACATTAGACGAACTACTTGTGTTGTTAGCACAAAAAGGGGACATCCGTTACAAACATTGAATACCCGACCGTCCTGACTCGATAAATGAAAAAGGCTTCGCTACATAAAAGTGAATTGCCAAGAAACAGCCAGTTACAGCCACGACGTTTACTTTTTGACAAAGGAATTTTGATCAAAAGGATAAAACGAAATGTTATGATCTATCCCTTTTTTGTTCGCGACAAAACAGAATAGAAGAATCAAACAAATATGCAATATTTGCTTCTTTTAACGTAAAACATACAGTTTCGTAGAAATAATCTCCTTGTTTTACTCTTTACGAAATCGGAAGAAAGAACAAAAGAGAAGATTTTTATATAACAATCTTGATATGACTAAAATAGCAAGAATAATTATTTTATTTACTTCGCTTTTATTTAAACTAAAAGTATTAACTATTGTACTTAATATAAACGTTTGTAATAAAATCATCGAAAACATAATATTATAGTTTACTATTACTAAATTACCTTAACAGTGTTGAGAGTTTTAAAGAAGAATAAACGATTTTTTGAAGCAGAATAACTCCAACTACCTCAATACGCTTTTGACACGTTCTCCAAGATTTCAAAAAATATTTCATGACTTTAATAATATTCCGCAGTATACGAGTTTTCTGCTGTCATATTATTTTCAGGTGTGCAAGTGATAAATTAAAATTTCAAATCCTAGTTGGGAATTTGTGCTCGCGAATTCCTCACGTGCATTTGACAAATACGATTTCATAACATTTTAAAATATGCATAGAAGTATTCGTGTAGCTGGAACTACCTTTTACATTTCCTTTCTACCATTATTATCTACATATTATGTTTTAAAATACGAATGCTCTATTAACAAAAAAACATTTTTAACAAAACATTGCGCATCTAATCGAAGAACTTTTCGATTAATTTTAGATCTATTTCTATTTTAATTCTTGTTTTATTAGCTTATTACATCTTAATTTTTGTAATAACATGTTATTACTATATTATTTTTACAAGTTTAATATATTTCCCATATAATATACAAGCTGTCGCACGCGACTCCGTCCGCGTCGAATTAAAAAGTGAGTAACCTAACGTTCTTCCAGACTATCCTCTACATCTATACCAAATTTAATCGTAATCCGTTAAGACGTTTAGATTACAAACTCTAACCCTAATCTTTAATCCATCCATCCATCTAAAATTTCGCATTTATAATTTTAAGTACGAAGGATGATTAGTATGAATGTATTTCGTGTCAAACTATGACTAATATACCATATACAGCGCATGTTCCTATAATCCAGACTACAATGCAACTGATACATTGAGCTGTATTGACACAATATCAGTATAACATGCATTACATAACTTGATACACCTAATGTACTCGAATGGAATAGCTATCACGCGAATATTTCAACTACATTTTTCATAACCTTTAATCGCCATCCACGATAACGCTAACAACATTTTTTTCAATTAATTACGTAGGAAAACAAAAACAATTTTTTAATACATAGTATCTGTTGCTCGTATAAGATATACAGAAGAATCGAGCACCTCCTTCCTAAAGGAAGTCGGTCAATAATAAAAGACATAGCCTGTATTACTCACAGATAAAAAAACCTTTCTAATGGTGAAAGAATTTTTGAAATCGGCCCAGTAGTTTTTGAGTTATTTCAATACACACCAAAATACAAATCTTTCCTCTTTATAATATTAGTATCGATTAATTTCGTATCTTATTTAATTTTAGTTTCAACTTACATGAATAAGCTAATGTTGACGCATGAAGATGTATGAAATTCTCCTTAGTTCGCCGGTGACGTGTTGTGAGGGTAGCGCCTACGTTTATTTTCAGAGATAACATTGATTCGGGAAAGCTATTCAATATTGTTCTATTTAACGTTTGCTTTTGTTATCTATCGGTTAATATTAGTATAAAATCTTTTAAATTGCTTATATTTGTTTTAACTGTGGTTAATCTAAACTTAGCACCTAAAGAAATATCATTAGAAAATTGAAAATGTAAAAAAATAACGATTATAATTTAGCAAACGTCAAAGATTAAAAAAAAATTATTACTTAAGCTATGCTAGTAAGGTATCTTTTTAAAAAATATTAGCCTTTATACAATAACAATAACATACAATTAGAACAATACCGACAAGTATTTTGTTTTATGACAATTGTGAAACTTCTCGAACCTTTTTAACTTGAAAAGGATGGCAAATGCTTTCTACATTCGGTATTACTTTTCTCTTAAACTTCGAAGAGTTTTGAAAAAGTTTTAAACTTAGTTATTTAGGAATATTAACGCAATGTACCGCGAGAATATTTCTTAAGAGTTTACTCGGACTATATTTTTTCATTATAATGAGTTCAATCATCTTATCCATACTAATATTATAAAGAGGAAAGATTTGTATTTTTGTATGTTTTGAAATAACTCTAAATATACTAGACCGATTTTAATTTTTTTTTATCGTTGGAAAGGCAATTTATCTGTGAGTATCACAGCCTACATTTATTTATTATTTATTAATTTCACCCGGGCGAATTCGCAAGCAACAGCAAGTGTTTTATATTTTTATATATGTATAGTGTAACAAGTCTACGAGTATAAACCGTAGAGGAACTTGTGGCCTACATACATCAGATTTAACTGTACAGTTCGATGGTTCAGTTCAAACTGAATGTGAGAAGAGCCTTTAGCCAAAACAGTCCAATATGAATGTTTATTTTAAAATTTACTATAGTTGTAGTAATTTCGTAAAAAAAAAACAGCTTTTTTCAAGATTATTGACGTGTCCCCGACATTCTATTCCTTATTAATACACAGTACTAAAATTACGCGATGTTAAAATCATTGTTCGTACCTCATCTCGTCTTTAATACTGATCCTTGTTCAAACAACTTTATACACGTTGTTAACAACCACAAATTGGGATATTGTTCGCGAGTTAAGTTTTAAGTAGGTCGTTATAGATACAACAATGTTAACAAATATCGAGCTTAATTACAATTCGATATCGCAATACACGTCTAATACACAAATTTGTATCTACTGATTTGTTGCCTTATGTATCTATGTTATGCAAAGCAGTTAACTGATTTAATTCTTATGATTAACACACTATATTAATGTTATTTATTGTGTACAGTAAATGACTAATTCAGGTATATTATTTCAATACGAAATTGACATATGAAACTTTAAGTATAATTGCCAAAAACGCATTTTGCAAAAACGCACGCATCTCAAAGTCTCTCAGATGCCTATGAGCGACAGTAACATTGTAATTAACGTAACCATGGGATGGTCGTTTGCTCTTTGCCATGTTTTACTGTTAAAAAAATATTTATATTTTTCGTATGAAATAAAACACTGTAATATATTATATCAAAATTACCCGGTATCTGTTTCATATTAAAAAATACCAATTTTCTTTATGAGTAGCGATGCTAAAAATAATTACATAGAAGCTATTCTGTTACACAATTTGTAGGACCAAAGCAATTTGTTCCAGTTGCGTAATTTAATCCGAGCCTTGCCTACCCCGTAGGCTTTTAACGGCCCATTCTCTTTCCTAGATGTTACCTTCACATTCACACAAGTAGTGGAATTTTACACCTCAATAAGGTAACTATTACTGTCGAAAATTCCTTTAGTTTTCAAAAGTGGTTTAAAACTTATGAAAGTGCCCTTTTTAAAGTCATTATTAAGCAATGTTGTTTTTTTTACATTATAAGGTGGCAAACGAGCAAGCGTCTATCTGAATACGCCGAAATGGCGAAGCGACCGCTGCCCATAGACATCTGCAATTACAAATGCGTTGCCTACCCATAATCGACGGAAGAGGAGACGCACATAAATAGGATGTTTCCCCTTCCTATGCGTCTCCTGCACCAAATCCACTATTTCTTCCCATCCTTTCCTCTTAAGAAAAGGGTGGAAAGAGAAAGGGACTAAAATTCAGTCCCCGGCACCCCAGACGAAACGTGAAGTTACTCCCACTTGCAAAAAATACAATATTGTTACAAAAAATAAAAGGCAATTAGAATCTTAACATTTTTTGGTATGTCCATATGTCAGTCGTCAATTCTGTTATATTCTGTTAGTAAAATATTGTAAGTAAAAGTTGTGATGACGGTAGCCCGGTAATGTACCGCAACTAGGTCAGGCGATGCGCTTCCGGAAACGTTAAACGTATTGATTGCAACGCGCACTTCAATACAAA